TATCATTTTTAGTAAGGTATAACGAAAATGAACTAAATCTCATAAAATAACTTGATGAAATTTTACTTGCATTTATAAGGCCCTGTTTGGAAAAGTTCTTAAGCTTCTAGTGCATCTGACGGTGACATTATGGTGCGTCCAGACCTGAGGAGACGAGCGCGAGACATTCCAAATTTGCGGTTTTTTCAAAGGGTGGACGGGTCTCGCAAGAGCCTCGCGAGACAACCTAAGGAGCCTCGTTGCTATCCGTCCCCTGTCGGTTTTTCGACGGTCGATCAAAGAAAACTCGCGGCCAAGTCTGGACGTGTTTTTGGTAGGCTCGCTCGATTGCGAGATATTAGTTCTGATATTAGTGCATATTGAAATGGAGACTTGGAAGGAAAAAGATCAGCTGAAATTCATCGATTTATATAAAGCAAAACCAATATAAAGAATCCAAAAGATAAAGGATATTAAAAAAAACAATAAACACGATGCGTGGGTAGATATCTCACAATCGATGAATAAAACATTGGGAAGAATATAAAAGAGAATTATTAAAAAGTGTTTAAGAATTATTAAAAAAATAGAAAAACTGTCGAGAAAGTTAAGATACACATTTTAAAAATTATTATAGAGTATACAGGGTGGTTCAAAATATATAACATGGGTTTTTAAATGTAATACACTAATTATTATTTTATTTTTAGATTCTGCGTAAAATTTTATAACTTCTTTATGTATAATGCCAGGTATATAATGTTATATACCTAAAACGGTATACCCCTAAAACTAATAGTTTTTGTAATATTTCAATTTGATTAAACAAAAAATGTTAGATTTCAGTGTCGTAAAAAATTGTCAGTCATGCTATTGTTTCTGAAATTGGAGTTCTAAAAAATTTGTTAGGATAGTTTTATAGGGACGAAGAAAAAGATATAGCTAAAGATATTTGATTACATGCTACAGTTTGTTAAACATATATTTATGAATTTCGACTATTTAAAATTAAATAATCTCAATTTTTTAAAATGGAACACCGTATGTATTATCATTTTTTTAATAGAATTTATAAATTTTGTATCACTGACACTTTTTACCGTACCGAAATCTAACCTTTCTTTAAACAAATTGAATTATTACAAAATCTATTATTTTAGATATATAGGTAATATGATATGGAAAAAAAATTACCGAATTGTACGTAGCATCTAATAATAAAATAAAAAATAGGGTATTCCCATTCAAACATACCTATGTCGGGAACACTGTTTGAAGTACCCTGTATACTCTACAGTAATTTTCAAATGTGCTTCTTAACCTTTCCTATAACTTTTCTATTTAACATTTTGTTCTAAAAAACGAATTTTGTAAAAGACGTCGTGTCTCGAAACAAGGGGAAAAAATCGACGATGAATAAAATACGACAAACCCAATATCATGTTAAAGAAAATTTATTACTTATGCGTTATTATTTGCTGCAGGTTTTTCATCGGACATGTTTACACAAACCGGTCACCTATCACTACGATCCAACTCGCTGGTCTCGTGGCAGGCTTGCGTCAAAAAATGGATAGAAAATGTCTTGCTCTCGTCTCGCACTCGTCTTGCTCTTGCCTCGCTCTTGTCTTCGCTCTCGTCTCTTGCTTCCAGGTCTGGACGCACCATTATATTTCTAGACTGTCTATTATGAAACATTTTCAAATTTTTAGTGTGTAATTTACTATGTTATTATCTAACTTACTACGTATTTTAAGTAAAGTAGTATCTGGATCAGGTTTTCAAAGCAAGTTCAAAATTTTAATACACGGACAAAAAATCGAGTAGAAAATTTTGATACAAAATTGTAGCACGGTAAATGTATTATCAACCGACATAAATGTATCTGCTGTTACTTAGTTTATTCAAAAATTCAGGTTTTGTTGTAGCAATCTTATATATTTGTTAACAAGTTCTTGCAGCAATTATTGCAAAACCGAATGGAAACGTTGTAGTAAGTAGTAAGTAGTACTACAAAAGTTGTAGTAAAATTTGCTTATGGTAATTGAAACCGTTGTCGGGAAGGTTGTGACAATTTTATAAAGTCATCATAAGGGGAGAGAGAAAATATGGCGGACATGTATATTGTGGAATTTGTGATCGTGCTGTAAAGGCAAATCAAACATCAATTGAGTGCGCTACATGTTGTGCTTGGGTCCACAGGGAATGTACCGGTTTTGGAAAAGTGGAGTATAATGATAAAATTGTTACTGAATTGCGTAAAAATAAGACTCATAAGTGGGACTATAAACAGTGTGTGTGGGGGTAAACTGAGGTTAGGAGACAATCATTTGGAGTCGTCCGCGATGCACCGATTTCTAAATGCGAAAATTTTCTCTGCAATAAGTGGTATTGGCGAGGGTATTGGTCAAGAGCGTATTGTAGTAATTATTACTACAAAAGTATAATATTTAAGAATTGCCGATAAGCAATTTAGATTTCACTACAATTTTTAGTTGTGGTTAAGATCGAAGATATCATTTTTACTACAATGGACAATGGAACGGAAATATGCCGACATGAAGATTACATTTTACTACAATCTTTGAGGAATTATTACTTGATATGCAGTTTATTATATGACCCTAAATACTTCCACATTAAAACCTTCTTCAAAACTATGATAGTGATATTGGCAAACAATGCAAATGATCTCCAAATCCTTCTAAATAAGGTTGAAAACGAAGACTGGGTTTAAAAATTAATTTTAAAAAAACTAAATATATGGCTGTTAGTAGAAACATTCCAAACACCAGAATTTACTTAAATTGACAGGTCATCAAGCAAGTCACACAATTTAAATACCTGGGATGCATGGTTAACCAAACATAGGATCCTGTTTAGGAGAACAACTGCAGGATGATCGAACAAGCAAGAACAACTTTTGTAAAACTTCGAAGGTTTCTTACAGATAGGAACTTGAACTTCGGCCTTAGATACAGAATGGTAAAGTGCTATGTCTGGTCCGTTTTGTTATATGGTGTGGAAGCATGGACACTGAAAGTAGCAACAATAAACAGAATTGAAGCCTTACGAATGCTAAGAGTGTCCTGGGTCGACCGTGTGAGGAATGAAGACATTCTCAGAAGAGCTGGTCTAGAAGAACGTGAACTCTTCGAAATCATCAAGAGGAAATTAACCTATTTGGAACACACAATACCTGGAGAACGCTATCACTCTCAGCGTCTAATTCTCTAGGATAAAATCGAGGGAGGCAAAAGGGGAATAGTCCAAAGGAAGCTATCCTGGCTGAGAAATATTCGTCATTGGACAGGCATACAGGACTTCTAAGCACTCCAAGTCGCTGCAATTAATAGAACCATCTGTTGAGGAAGAAAAAGATGAACGCCTACGGAGGAATCTGCACGGCACCTTAAGAAGAATACAAAACTATGAACTATTTCTGCAATTTTTTAACTACAAAAAAATAGTAAACATTGTTACAACTTGTATTTGGTCACATATATATAACACTACAATTTGCAACAAAGGATTTTACAATTTTAGCAGTATTCACAATATTTTTTTCCGTGCAAAAATTATGTATTTGACAACTGAAACTAAGCCAAGCATTTCTGATGCTTAAAGTGTTGGGCTTTTAATCATCTTGACGGTCTTCCGTTTTACCTGGCAAGCAAAACTGGCAGGTAAAACGTTATGTGTAGTCGGGGCTTTAGGTAGTTTATTACAACATATTTTTTTTCAATTTTTTAGTGGAATTTAACTGTATTAATAACTACCATTACTATATTGAGAAAAGTAGAACTGGAGTTATTTTAGAAAATAGTAGAAATACGCCTATAAAAATAATAGGTAGTATAAATCTTACATATTTTTGCTTTGATATTAAAAAGTTTTATAAAAAAGTTATAATAAAAATATATTATGTAACATTATTAAGTAGTATAATTACTCTCATTTCCATCATGCGTTTTTTTTTATTAATAGCTTATGACAATTATCAAAATATGACAGATGTAACATACAAAACGATTAACAATAGTTCGAAAACTACTAAAAAATTTTACTTTTATAAAGTCATTTCGATAACTTATCAAACAATTAAAGAATCTGATTAATCAAGGTATCAGACACTTCCTTTGTTTGAAAATTTCAAGACTACATACTGTGGTTTATAATACGAACTCATGAGTCATTAAAATTACTGTTTATAATATATTTTTCGAGTCATATTTTACTCAAAATTTTCTCAAAAAATTCAATAAGACATACTCGAAAATTCAGAATATTCCTGAACAGCAGTAGTACATAAAAAATGCGCCATTTTTGGTGCGCTGTCATCGTACAGATTGTCAATTATTGCGTGAGTGCATTATTTTAAACACATCCAGGAACGAACCAAGGTATCTGGTAAATTTCTCTCTAAGACTGGAACATTTTAATAAAACTTACCCGCTATACAAAGCATAATACATCCTTATTTAGTAAAAATTCACTAGAAAAAATGAGGTATGGAGTAATCCAAGCACATCATACGTCACACAATTGAATTTTGCACACTGAAATCGCAAATAATACAAAACAATCGAACAATTTTCGTGCGTACGCGAACGCCATTTTGTTAAAACTCCGTCGTCGATGCGGGGTCCCTTCTGGAGACTGAATTGCACGGTTTAAACCCGATTTTTCAGCCAACTTCGATACCGACGAGGTGGTTGCATGCGGCGAGGCTCGATGCACAAGTGCATCGGTGCTATTGCACCAGGACGGGGGATTCAAAAAGCGACGATATTCGGTTTCTGCTAAGCTAGCGCCCTCTGCTTGCAGTGCCTGCGCGGTTGATTCGCGTTTTGTACTCGTCCTGTGCGTGTGTGAGTGTGTCGCGGAGTATGTTGGCATCTTTGTCTGGTGCGAAACGAGTGTTGGATGATGTAGAAAGAGAGAAAAATGATAAGAGTGTGCAGCGGAAAGTATTTCTGATTTTTAATGTGCGAGTACCACATGTTAATAAAATTTTCCGACTTGATTGAGGTTGTTATCGAGATTGTATGGGAGAAATTAGATTATTGCTAAGGTAATTTCTAAACTACATTTTTCTAAGTTTTTTTTTCATTTTAACAGCTATGGAATATCTTGTTTCAATGATAACATTTTTATCAATGCTTCTTATACAGGGTGTCCCAGAAATAAGTGCAAATATTTTAACTGGTAGTATAGTTCAACCCCAGAAACACGCCTATGAGGTTTTTGTCGCGAAAACATTTTTTTTAAATTCGGAATTTTTTGAAATTTTTTTTAGTTTTTATTTAAAAAATAATAATTTGTTGATAATATGGCAACATAGGTAGTAGATTAAATTAACAAGAAAGAAAATCCAGAAAAGATCCAGTGGTTCTCAAAATTTGAGCAAAATATCATTTTTTTGGAAATTTTTAAAGTAAAATAACTCCGTTATTTTGAACTTATTTGAGAAACGATAAAGAGAAAATATATTTCTTTTATCGGGATCTACCACCCCTTAAAATACTTGCACTTATTTCTGGGACACCCTGTATATTCAGCGGCATTATCAAAAGAATTCAATTTTATAAAAATTAAGTTCTACTTCTTGGCACGGCGCTATCTGAAAGTTTTCCTGTAACTAGGGCCTACGACAAGGTTGCTGCCTATCCCCGATGTTATTTAAAATCTATCTAAATGAAGCTTTAGAAAAATGGAGAAGATCGAGTAGAGGAATGGGAATACCAATTGATGACGAAACAAGTCTACCGGGTGGTGGATCGTCGCTGGAAACATACGAAATCCCATGCAAATTTTATCCAAATATTGGTTAGGTTTGGTTAGGACATGACTGTTTATTTGGCTTCTTATTAGATCGTTCTCTGAGTGGTGGTAGTACGACATATCTAGGTATCTATACTTGCTCAATAATTTTGTTTTCTACTACCATTAAGCATTTAGTTTTTTCAGTGGAGATAATCATGTCTAATTCTGGGCTTACTTGGTAGAATTTATGAAACTGCCTCTGGATATCATCCTCCGTCTCCGCGATAATGGCTGCATCATCGGCCGTAGCAAACCAAATTCATACCATACTCTGTTCTCTCCCATTCGATAACCTTTATTCCGTTCTTTCTAGCCTTCTAGTGTTGGTATTGTGTGTTAGGTTATTTCCTATTTTTACTTGAGTTGTGTTATTGATATTTAGCTTTCTGATGGTACTTACAATATTATCAGACAGTACTTTATTTTTAAATATGTTAAATGTGTGTTATAATGCCAGGAATACTTTATCGAATGCTTTAGTCAAGTCAATGAAACAGATATAAGCTGGTGTTTGTGCTGTTTCTTTAATTTGTTTAATGATAAATACGGTGTCCTGTAGTTGGAATCTTAGGGATAGAATTAATTTCATTCAAAATAATGTTCAGATTGATTAAGATTCGCTGATGACACACTGATAAAAAAGATAGACTTGAACTAAAGTCGTCATCGTTCTTGAAAAAAAAAAATTACTGGCAAGAGAATTTATTTAAGCGTAAAAGAAAATATTTTGCCTGAAGAAAAGCTCTCTTAACTCAAGAAAACTGGTTCTCTTAAAAAATTCGAAAATTTCTCTTGAATCTATTTTCATTCAACCAAGTGCAAGTTACTTTGTTTTAAGATAATAAGAAAAATACGCTAGGAAGTACTTCATTCAAGAAACATGGTCATTTTTCCAATAGCTAAATACTCTTGATGAAAAATAATAACAACACGCAAAGACGATGACGAAGGACGGTATAGGTATACTATCAGTCGGCAGTCCGATCAGTCGTACATCATAGTACGTACGGGTTTTGTTGCTTGGAATTTTCCACTTGGAATTTTGCATAATTTGCTTTTTAAACGCATATCGTATAACAAATTAATGATCGTTATTAACATGCATTTGTCATTTTTTATGGACAAATTTTAGGATATATGGATTCTTTAAAGGAGTTTCTGAAAAAATGGAAATTAGAGCATTTATTTGCTATATTTGAAGGTAAGAGACATTTACCTAATGCACCTGTTTAGATAATGCATGTGTGACTATAGATAGAATAAGAATTTAGGTATCGATTTTTTTATGCAAATAATTACAAAAATTTTAGAATTTCAAGTCGTCGTATTAAAAAATTCAAAATGTGACCAAAGCTTATAATTTTAATAATTTATTTGCTTTACTTTGAAATCATCATTTCTTTGTAATTTGTAGAGTGATGAACCACCCCAAAAAATACCAAGGAGTGAAGAAGCAGAAATAACTACTATCGAGGAAAATAATATCACTTTACTTATTACAGACCAGGAAAACCTAAATTTATCAGAAAATAATATACCTCGTAATATGCCTGTATATGATGTATAGACTTCTCTTAGATCAAAATAAATTTTAGTTGAGTCAATAGTATTCGCTATTGGTTTAAGAAAAGTGTCTCTTTAATCAAGAAATGTCCCTTTTCAATCAAGAATTTTTGCATGAATCAAAGAGACTATTTTTCTTGTAGCAAGAACTTCTTTGCATATTCATTTTGGGTCAAGAGTGAAATACTTTGGACAGATAGATTCTTCTATTCTCTAAAGTAATTTTTTAAATCTTATGAAAAGATAGTTAATGCTTTGGGTAAAGAAACATCGTTCTTGGCCCTATTGAAAAGCGCCAATCTTTTGGGTCAAAGTCATATTCATTTCGACTGAGAGATCTTTTTTTTCAGTGCATAGTCCTAATTGCCAATAGTCCTGAAGAACTATACAAGCACAAATTAACGAACTAAATACAGACAGCAATAAAGTAGGTCTCAAAATGAATTTAGCATAGTAGAATATATATTTGGGAAAACTAATACACAGTTCAAGTTCAAAACCTCTACTACTAGAAATCAACAGAAGAATTAAGCTGACACGGAGTAAATATTATGGAAGAAACTCAATCACATTCAAATCTAGAATGGAACTTTATCTAAAGAAAAAAACATCAACGTGTACTACCAGTCATGACCTACAGTGAAAAAAAGGATCTCTCAGTTGAAATGAATATGACTTTGACCCAAAAGATTGGCGCTTTTCAATAGGGCCAAGAACGACGTTTCTTTGCCCAAAGCATTAACTATCTTTTCATAAACTTTAAAAAATTACTTTAGAGAATAGAAGAATCTGTCCAAAGTATTTCACTCTTGACCCAAAGTGAATATGCAAAGAAGTTCTTGCTACAAGAACAATAGTTTCTTTGATTCATGCAAAAATTCTTGATTGAAAAGGGACATTTCTTGATTAAAGAGAGACTTTTCTTAAACCAATAGCGAATACTATTGACCCAACTAAAATTTATTTCGATCTAAAGAGAAGTCTATACATCATATACAGGCATATTACGAGGTATATTATTTTCTGATAAATTTAGGTTTTCCTGGTCTGTAGTAAGTAAAGTGATATTATTTTCCTCGATAGTAGTTTATTTCTGCTTCTTCACTCCTTGGTATTTTTTGGGGTGGTTCATCACTACCTACAAATTACAAAAAAATGTTACATCACGAACTTTGGTCACATTTTGAATTTTTTAATACGACGACTTGAAATTCTAAAATTTTTGTAATTATTTGCATAAAAAAATCGATACCTATATTCTTATTCTATCTATAGTCACGCATGCATTATCTAAACAGGTGCATTAGATAAATGTCTCTTACCTTCAAATATAGCAAATAAATGCTCTAATTTCCATTTTTCAGAAACTCCTTTAAATAATCCATATATCCTAAAATTTGTCCATAAAAAATGACAAATGCATGTTAATAACGATCACTAATTTGTTATACGATATGCGTTTAAAAAGCAAATTATGCAAAATTCCAAGCAACAAAACCCGTGCGTACTATGAAATGCGGCGTACGACTGATCGGACTGCCATGCCATGCCGACTGATTGTATATACCGTCCTTCGTCATCGTCTTTGCATGTCGTTATTATTTTTCATCAAAAGAGTATTTAGCTATTGGAAAAAAATGGCCATGTTTCTTGAATGAAGTACTTCCTAGCGTATTTTTCTTATTATCTTAAAACAAAGTAACTTGCACTTGGTTGAATGAAAGTAGATTCATGAGAAATTTTCGAATTTTTCAGGAGAACCAGTTTTCTTAAGTTAAGAGAGTTTTTCTTCAGGCAAAATATTTTCTTTTACGCTAAAATAAATTCTCTTGCCACTAATTTTTTTTTTCAAGAACAATGACGACTTTAGTTCAAGTCTATCTTTTTTATCAGTGTATGAATGCGAAACCTGGACACTTATGAAACCGACGTTATAAAGAATCTGCAGGTTACACAACGCTCGATGGAACCAAACCATGTTGGGCATAACAAAGAAATAGAGTAAAAAGAATAGAGTGGATATTACAAAAGGATCCAGGTAATACATGTTATTCACATAATCAAATCCCTCTAGTGACAATGGGCAGGACAGGCTGGACATCTTGCTGGACAACAAATGGATCACAAAAATTACAACATTGTACCCACGAGGAATTAAGAGACCTAGAAGAACACCAGACCTAAGATAGGACTATGATACTAGAAAATTAGCAACATATAACATTTTTTATCAATGCTTAGAATTTATCTGATTCACAATTACTTATATGTTCAGCCGAGGCCTACGTGAATTATATGGCCGCAAGATACCCCTCGCACCGCGCCTGTGACGTCACAATCTGAGGGTCATCACTCGGCGATCAGCTGTTGTGTTTACATAAATTAGTATGTAAATGCCGTGTTTGTGCCGGGTTTATGTTCTATTTTTGATCGAAAAAAATATATTTTCTAGTTGAAATCAGCGTTCAAATTATTTGTGGTGTGAAAATAGTGCTGTGCCTTGAGTGTAGCTAGCAAAAACTGTGACATTTTTTAGATTATCTGTGGTTTTTACATCAGATGAGGTTTCAAACTTAACCTCTACAAATTGTGGTATGCAGTTGTTTGTTGTTTCATACCTGTTTTTCATACAATACAAACCACTTTCTCTCATAAATATGAGAGATTTTTTCAAAATTCTTTTACAAATTGCTTATATGTATAGGTTCGATCGAGGGTTCAATAGAGAAATAATCCCTGGGGAGAGCATTAAAAAATTATTCCAAAATAGGAAGGGTACTTGATTGTTTTTGTACCTGTTTAAATAAAAATTCTGCCAAATATCCAATCATGTACCATGTACCCTTCCTATCATTTATTATTTTGATGTAATTGCTTCTTCAGAAAATGTAGAAATAAATAGTGAACAATATGCTTCATTATTATACAGGGTGAGTTTCCTACGATGTTCTCTATGGGTATCTCGGAAACTACTGGAGATAGAGAGTCGGTTAAATGGGGAAAGAATTGCAGTTTTGTGGGGTCATAAATATGCGCCTTTCAGATTTTTGAAAAAGTTCATGACTTACTAGATATTTCGAAAAAAACAAATTTCGGCTATTTTAAAAATTGTCCCTAATTCCATTATAAGCTATTTTAGACAAAAAGTTTTCAGATAAAAGTTGTAGATAATCACATCCTTAATGAGACTGTGTCCTCCGTTTCTTTCTAAAGCCTGTCATTTTTGACATATGACACAAACATAGGTTTTTTTAAATGGAAACCATAGTTGGCCATGACTTCATAAAAAGCGCCATTTTTAAGCTTTTTAGTGATATAAGCTATAATATCTTTTCTTCGAAAAATTACTAAGTTATAGCCAATTTTTATCATTTTTAAACAATTTCACTTAGTTAGCCATGGAAATAAGTTCAATCGCCGTTGCTCTCAGAAATGTGAAGCTGTCACATCCAAACTTTGTAAATTAAAATAAACAAAAATTGTAAATATGAATTTTTCAAATGAAGAAGAGCGTATAGGATTATTGGTTCAACTTTTCTTGACCATGCAATTTAGAGGATACGTTGACCGGTGAGCATCAATAGAGTGGTTCCAACATGACTTTCATTATGACACACCACCCCCCACCCTCCATACTGAAAGATATGTTAAAAATTATTTATATCATAATTATACAAACACAGGGATA